ATTTTCAGCATCATTACTCCTCTTCAGTGTCACATGAATCTTCAGAAATCGTTCTAATATGCTGATTTGCTGCTCAAGAAACATTTCTTATTATCAATGATAAAAACAGTTGTTTAATATTTTTTGGGAAAGTTAAAAGAGAAAACAGCATTTATTTGAAAAAGAATATCTTGTAACATTATAAATGTCTTTACTGTCACTTTTGATCAATTTAATGCATCTGAATATTAATTTCTTTTAAAGTATTTCTTTCTTTCTTTATTTACTGAACCCAAACTTTTGAACACTAATAATTAATATTAATAAATGTATTTATTTATTTATTTGTTTGTTTGTTTTAAGTGGCTCATTTGAGAAGTAGAAGGAATGCTCTGAAATGCGAGTGACCTGCTTTAAGTAAATTAATGCAGTGATGGGCATTATCTGTCTCTGTCTGTATGGCTAAGAGCATGTAATAGGCTTCACATGATAAAAATATGTTTTCAAAGAAGAAAAACATCTTGAAAATCAACACTGACACATTGTAGATTTACAAAATGTTCCTAATTATTTTTGCCTGTTTGTCATGCTAGGATATAATGAGTTGTTTGTTGCTGGTTCCATTTGAAGTCTTTATTTCTCTGTCTGGTCCCAGGCTGGTGTTGTCTCGGTTTGAGGTCGAGTCTGGAGAGGGTCCTGTGGAGTCAGAGGAGGATGAGGAGGAGGTGTGGTTGTTTTGGAAGAACAGTGGTAAGGAGATCAAGAGTAAGAGCATCAGAGAGCTGGCACAGGATGCTAAAGAAGGCCAGAAAGAGGACCAGGAGGTCATTAGCTACTACAGGTCAGCCAACAGGAAATAAGCCAAGGGTCAAAGTTTATCAGGGCAAAACCCAAAAGCTGACATGATTGATTAAATGTTTTCAAGTCCAAAATGGTATAAAAACAAATCAAAACATCAGTTCTCTCAGTAACATGGTCTCCTGGCTCATTTCCTTTCTCAGATACCAGCTGAACCTGTTTGCACGGATGTGTTTGGACCGCCAGTACTTGGCCATTGAGAAGATATCAGGCCAGCTGGATGTGGACCTGATCCTGCGCTGCATGTCGGATGAAGACCTGCCCTATGACCTCCGTGCCTCTTTCTGCCGACTGATGCTTCACATGCATGTAGACCGTGACCCGCAGGAACAGGTCATGCCTGTGAAATATGCCAGGCTGTGGTCTGAGATCCCATCCAAAATCGCAATTGATGAGTACGTTGAAGTGTTTTTAAACTATGTTCTTCCATTTGTAGGTTTCTGTAGTATTTTTTGTCTCTACCCAGTGTATTTAATGTTGTATTTTGATTTTAGTTATGATAACGATGGAACCAGTAGAGATGAGATAAAAGAGCGCTTTGCGCTTACTATGGATTTTGTGGAGAACTACCTCAGAGATGTGGTCTGTCAAAATGTTCCTTTCTCTGATAAAGAGAAAAACAAACTCACTTTTGAGGTAAGTCACACGTCCAACATGTGCTAGAGTGACGAATGTGGGTTGTTTTGGACGTGACTAACTCTTCTGTTTCTTTTTGTGTTTCTAAGGTTGTGAATTTAGCAAGAAACCTTATTTACTTTGGCTTTTACAACTTCAGTGACTTGTTGCGTTTGACCAAGATCTTGTTGGCCATTTTGGACTGTGTTCATGTCAGTACCATCTATCCTGTCAACAAAATGGAAAAAGGAGATGAGTCCAAAAGTAAAGAACTGCTTCTTGATCTTTTTCTCATATTATAACAGTTCGAGTCTCTAGATGTACAAGCTCAACATCCTTTGTTGGTCCTGTGAATGATTTTCAAACAGTCATTAAAACTTGTACAGGTAGATGTGATTCATTTGAGAATGTTTAACAATTTGTTGGTTCTGTTTCTCCTAGGTAGCAATGTAATGAAATCCATCCATGGCGTTGGGGAGCTGATGACGCAGGTGGTCCTAAGAGGAGGCGGATTCTTACCCACAACCCCCACAACACCCCCAGATGGTGATGTGGTGAAGACCCAGACAGAACCAGAGAAGGAAGACATTCTGGTGATGGACACCAAACTGAAGATCATAGAGATCCTACAGGTGATTAAAAACCCATAATTTAAAAAGGAAACATGAAATGGAAAAATTGAATTAGCTTAAAATATATTTTAATACATTTATTTTTATTTATTTTATTTTATTTATTTTTTCAACCAGACAGTCATATATAGGGTATAATAGGGTTTATATCTGGTAAATCACTTAACCTTGTGTTTTTTGTTGTTCAGTTTATTCTGAATGTTCGACTGGACTACAGGATCTCCTGCTTGCTCTGCATCTTCAAACGTGAGTTTGACGAGAGCAACACACAAACGGATGCAGTGCCAGCTGCAAATGCAGACGGGCCCAACAGTATCCCAGGTATGCAGTGTGTCCCGCTCACTATCACCCGTGAGTTATTCTACAGATTATGTGAGTGTTTCTGTGTGTTTCACAGCTTTGGACTTTGAGAACATTGAAGAACAAGCAGAAGGAATATTTGGTGGAAGGTAAGGATTCACGTCTTGAATAAAAAGGTGCAAGAATCTTTGTAAGAGAACGTAAGTGTGTAACCGTAGTTTTTTCCTGAACTCAGTGAGGAGAACTCACCTCTGGATCTTGATGACCATGGCGGAAGAACATTTTTGAGGGTTCTGTTGCATCTCACCATGCACGACTATCCACCGCTCGTGTCTGGAGCGCTGCATTTGCTCTTCAGACACTTCAGTCAGAGACAAGAAGTGCTCATGGCTTTCAAACAGGTATTTAACACAATGATATTGGCTTTGTAAGTTACTTTAGTGAATGGTATTGACATGGAACATTTTTAGGCCGTTTATGGCTGTTGATGTTTAAATGCATACATTTGTTTGCATTTTAATTCTCCATGCATCCCTCCTTCTTATTCACTATAGGTTCAACTTCTAGTGACCAGTCAGGATGTTGACAACTACAAGCAGATCAAATCAGACCTTGACCAGCTGCGATCTAATGTGGAAAAATCTGAGCTCTGGGTGTACAAGCGACAGGGTGATGAAGGCATGGATGCAGGAGATGGACTCCCAGCAGAGTCTGACCACAAAAAGAAGGTGGCAACATTTATTATTTAAGGCAGAGGTCTTCACAGACACCCCCAGTTACTATCTGGCCTATATTAATGTATTGTCAGTTTGTATGATGCTTACATTACATCATTATGTTTTTGTGAGCAATGTACAATTTAGCTGAACTTTAGCTTGTTTGCTAACAAAAAGCTTCGTAGGCCCCATATATATCAGATATGTGGAAAAAAAGAAAGGGATAATTTTTATATTTTTTCTCATAATTGAAACCTTATAGCTCACTTCTATTTCTCGCTTTCTATTTTTTTTACCTTATTTCACAATTACCTTTTTTTTTCCTGAGGCGGTCTTCCATACATAATAGCCATTATTATTTGAATGGAATACAACATTCATGCTTTATTTAGTCTGTGTCTGCTCTTTATGTAGAAGGACTCTGGTTCAGGCAAAAAAAAGACCGACGGAAATGGCAGTGACAATTACAGAGATGTGAAGGAGGTAAAGTGTCATTCACATACTTCACACACATGATCATTCAGCATTATGAGGTAGTGTTGAATGTCTGAAGTAGTTAATGCATCCAAGCACTATAAAGAATAGCAACGCTAATTATGTAGCCTCTTTAACAAAAGATCTAATTAACCAGTGCTGAAGTGTACGACTGGAGCATGAGTACCACATGAAACAGCAGTAACAGCTGTTGCAGATTGACCTGCTTTGATAAACGGTGTTCATTCATTCCGTTTTCTCCTTTTCAGCTCATCATCTGTCTGTCTTTCTATCTCTAGATCCTCTTGCGTCTCAGCAAACTGTGTGTACAGGAAGGACCATCAGGGAAGAAGAGTAAGAAACAGCAGCAGAGGCTGTTGAGGAACATGGGAGCTCATTCAGTGGTGCTTGAACTGCTGCAGATCCCTTATGAGAAGGTCAGTCCAATGAGTGTGGTACTCGCAAAATTAGTTTTATGACATACGGGTGTGTTAATGCTTCTCGAATATTCATTCTTCAGCTGATGCGGGCGGAAAACCATACTAAAATACCTGCTATTCAGCAATTCCACAGCACTGCTACTGAATCTACAGCGTTCAGAGAAGTCTGATTCCTGAATAAATGATTCCTATGATCCGGTTCTTTTTAGTGAATCAAAAACATACAACACGACCAGTTTATTCGATTCTTGAATGAATGACTCTTAAAATTCACATCTTTCAAGTGAATCAAAAACATCTAATGTGCCCAGTGTAGTGTGATTCCTGACTGAATCACTCCTATGATTCAGTTCTTTTTAGTGAATCAAAAACATACAACACAACCAGTTTATTCGATTCTTGAATGACTCTTAAAATTCACATCTTTCAAGTAAATCAAATACATGTAATGTGCCTAGTGTAGTGTGATTCCTGACTGAATCACTCCTATGATTCAGTTCTTTTTAGTGAATCAAAAACATGCAACACAACCAGTTTATTCGATTCTTGAATGACTCTTAAAATTCACATCTTTCAAGTGAATCAAAAACATGTAATGTGCCCAGTGTAGTGTGATTCCTGACTGAATCACTCCTATGATTCAGTTCTTTGTAGTGAATCAAAAACATGCAACGCAACCAGTTTATTCGATTCTTGACTGAATGACTCTTAAAATTCACATCTTTCAAGTGAATCAAAAACATGCAACGCAACCAGTTTATTCGATTCTTGACTGAATGACTCTTAAAATTCACATCTTTCAAGTGAATCAAAAACATGCAACGCAACCAGTTTATTCGATTCTTGACTGAATGACTCTTAAAATTCACATCTTTCAAGTGAATCAAAAACATGCAACGCAACCAGTTTATTCGATTCTTGACTGAATGACTCTTAAAATTCACATCTTTCAAGTGAATCAAAAACATGCAACGCAACCAGTTTATTCGATTCTTGACTGAATGACTCTTAAAATTCACATCTTTCAAGTGAATCAAAAACATGCAACGCAACCAGTTTATTCGATTCTTGACTGAATGACTCTTAAAATTCACATCTTTCAAGTGAATCAAAAACATGTAATGTGCCCAGTGTAGTGTGATTCCTGACTGAATCACTCCTATGATTCAGTTCTTTTTAGTGAATCAAAAACATGCAACACGACCAGTTTATTCGATTCTTGAATGAATGACTCTTAAAATTCACATCTTTCAAGTGAATCAAATACAAGTAATGTGCCTAATGTAGTGTGATTCCTGACTGAATCACTCTTATGATTCAGTTCTTTTTAGTGAATCAAAAACCACTGTGACCAGAACAGTCTGCTTCTTGAATATATGACTCTTTATTTTCTGGTTCTCTTTACTGAATCAAAACATGCAATGCGACCACTGTATTTCAGTTTTTAAATCAGTGATTCGAAAACATGCAGATTGGCCAGTTTAGTCCAATTCTTGAATGACTCCTATTAGCCAGTTTTTTTGTGAATCAAAAAACATGCAACATGATCAGTGTAGTCCATTTTTTTTGAATGAATGACTGTTGTGATCTGATTCTTTTTAATAGATTAAAAACAAATAATTCTGCCAGTGTAGTCTGATTCTTGAATGGATCACTCTTATGGTCTAATTCTTTTTAGTGAATCAAAAATGCAACACATCCAGTGTAGTCCATTTCTTGAATGAATGACTTCTATGAGTTTTTTCATTTTAGTGAATAAAAACACTTGTGAATCATTCAGAGCAGTTATTTATCTGAATTAAATGACTCAATAATGGATACATTATTAGTTATTACTTTCCTTAAAAATCATTATTGTGAAGGCATTCTATTCCAGCCATGTTGTATTTAATTTGTATTTTTTATAAATCTTTTTTAATATCACTTATTTACTTTAAGATATGAACATGTATAAATATTTTCTCACTCCAAAAAAAAAAAAAAGTGTGC